TGAAGTTTTCGACGTAAATTGGTGTGTTTAGGATTGTTTTTATTTCCTTTTCAGCAAACTAGTAGCTATATAATATTTTTAGTACAATAAGGCAATATTTTAGACTATAAAATGATTGGAAGAAGTAGGGATATATGAAATCAAGTGAATAGTATGTAAACAATTTCTTTATTTCAAAACAACTACTATATAGACTATGAATAATTGGAAGTATGGGATGAAATCAAGCCAGTATATACACATTTTTTTTAATTTTATTTCAAAACAATTTTATATTAGAAACTGAATAGTAACTTTTTTTTCTTATATAATAATCACTATTTTTTAAATATATTTTATTTTATGAAATGTTTGACTCTAAACATCCCTATGTATAATTCTTGAATTTGTTGAGTTTAAATGGCAAGCTTGGATCTTATGTAGAAAATTTTCATGATTTGTCATTTAGCTTAGAGGTATTTTAATTTACTTTCAATCAAAAAATAATTAGACTCATAATATCCATAAATATATTGTATATTTATTTTACACCCAGAATATCCATAAATATATTGAATATTTATTATCCTTTTTAAGAGTATAGAACATTTTTTTTATTCTAAATGTGGTTTATAAGGCATATTTTTTTTCCTAATCTTTTTCTTTTCCGCAGTCTTTCTTTTTAAATTATAAATAATTACCAACATAAATTATATATATATATTAAAAGTTAATAAATTTTGTATGTATTATCAATTTTAATATATAATATATTAAATTAATCATCTTTTGATGAACTTTTGAATAGATTATCTATATTGTATATACAAAATAAATAAACTTATAATGAAAATTAAAATTACCTATTAATATTAATAAAAAAATAAAATTATTTAAATTAATTAATTACAACGTTGTTATATGATATACGTTTAAAAGTTATTATTATATAAGATGGATAAATCGTATAAATTATGTGCGACATTCTAAATACAAATTTCAAAAAGTATTTAAAGTGTATTTCAAAAAGATTTAAAGTTTAATACAAGCTAGTTTTTCATTATTCTCTAGTCTTAAGCACAAATTTCTTAAGAATCACCTATGTAATACGCGATATTTCACTGGTTATATTACTAATTCCAAATTTCTATAAACTCTACATTAGACATGGCAAAGGGTCGAACAGGTCCTGAACTGGCCCAGTAAAGCTGGTTTTTTAATCGGCTCGGAACTCATTAAGAGGCCGATTCAGGGTCGTGATTTATTATTTTTTGACCCGGGTTGGGCCAGTTATGGCTCGAAGGACGGGTCGTAGTTTTTTTGTCCCATTAAACCGCAGGGTCAATGAATGATGAATCGGCCTTTAAATATAGTCGGGGCCATCATTTGAGGCCCCCCAACCTGACGGGCCGGGCCGGGGCCGTGAATCGGCCCGGCTTTGGAACAAGTCTACTCTAGACCGGCGAATATATACTATTATCCCTCGTCTTTGCACATTTTCATTCAAATATCTTATTAGCATAAATTCCAGATTTTGATAGCGACAACAAAGCGTAAAATATTTAAATTCCTTTGATATTATCATACACAAAATATTTTTTTAAGTAGAAAAAACTACTTAATTTGTCTAAAAAGTACATAGATGACACCATCACGAGTAAAATTCCTTTTCATGATTAACATAATAAATTCCATAAGTTATTATTTTAATTAGAATGACATCAATTCATGATACAAGTTGAAGCTTCGCTATCCAAATAGATTTTGAGACCATTTTATAATATTGTCATTTTCGTGGAGAACAATTTTAGATTGTTTTGTTTATTAGCATAAAACAGACAATTAAATATATAATCCTTAATACAATAATACTAGTAACTCAATTGTCTTCTATAATATATATTCATTATAATTTATAACTCAAATCTGGCCAATAATAATAATAATAATAATAATAATAATAATAATAATAATAATAATAATAATAATAATAATAATAATAAAGAGAAAATATTCTCTTATTCCATTTGATGGTGATTTGATTCCAATTCTCAAGATTATGGGGAAACATTTATATGAAATTATTTAATTTCAATATTTTCATTTCCAGATATTAATATTTGTCTTTAGTTTTTTGGGGGACTGAGGTACAAAACTCAAAGCAAAATAAATAAATAAATAACCAAATTTATGTACGGAAAATCATACATATTTTCAGCCCAATACATAGGAGAAATGAAATTTTGAACTGCGAAGGTGAGACGAGGACTTCAACTGTCTCCCAATTCAGAAATTTAATAAACATTTGATCGCAAAACGACTACCATTTTGGTAGACATATGATTATTGGGAAATTAAATGGTTGAATATTGATTATTGGGAAATTAAATGGTAGCAATTTCCACAAGTTTGTCAAGCTTTGGTATTATTGAGTCCAAGTGCCCAAAATTTATTTGAATGAAGGTTTTATATGTGCAAGTTGAATGCATTAATTTTCATAAAAGAATTAAATATTCAAGGATTGAATAGGTAGAGTGTGCAAATTCAATTCCACTTGAGGTACAAAGTCAAATATATAAGTTTGGTAGGCTAGAATGGAATCCCATCTGAGTTCGTATGTTGGACTTGATGGAGAACTGAGTTTTGAGGTGTTGTTACTAACAATTGGTATCAGAGGCACAGTCGGTAGCCAAGTTGCGATGTGGATGACATGGCATGATTCTGTGGAGCCGGTAGACGGTTGGTAGATCCGTGTGTCTTGTGTGTAAAGTCTTATTGGTGAAAGTGTGGTGAGGCGGCAGGTTACGTGGGTGATAACGGCGGTACAAGATGGTCGTATCGAATGAATTTTGTTAAAGGGGAGGCCCAATATAGTATTGTGTTTGAGGGGAAGTTTGTCAGGTGTGCAAACTCAATCCCACATCGAAAAATTTAAGGTTCTAAGTCCAATAAATAAGTTTAGTGGACTACTTTTCTACTCACAATTAATTTTATAATGAAACCCCATTTGAGTTTGCATGTTGGACTTGATGGAGAACTGAGTTTGACTTGGTGGTCCTAACCAATATTGTGCTATGATTGATGAGTACGATAAGTTTTATTTTTTATTTTTTATTTTTTTTTTATTTTTTATTTTTTAAAAAAGAAAACTTAAAAGCTGTAATGTATTTCAAAATATTTTAAGAGATGATAAGTAGAAATGTCTTATTTTAAAAATAAGTTGTTCAGATGTAGGGTTGAGGGGTTGAGGAATATAATTAGTACATTTTAAGTTGAAATTTTGAAATTAGTGTTGTTAAATTAAATGAGCATGGCTTGGTTCGAGCTTATTTGTTAAGGTTCGAATTTGGCTTGAGTTTGAGTCCTTAACGAGCCGAGCTCGAGTTCATTTAAAACTCGTTTGGTTAACGAGTCAAGTTTGGCTCGACTCGATAAGGTTTGAACAATTTTCTTTTAATATAATTTTTTATAATTCGACACGTTAAAGTTCGAGATCGACGTTAATAGTGATAAATGAGCCGTACTCAAAACTCTATTTCTGCCTTGTTTATTTAATGAACTGAGCTCAAACTTGAGCGCTCTATGCTCGAGCTAGGCTCAACACTCGTTTATTGTCGTAGTCCGAATATATAAAAAAAAGTTGGAAAACTCGGAAAGATATTAAATAGAGTGAATTATAATTTTAGTCCTGTATGTTTCACAATTTTAACTTTTTCGTCCTCTACGAATTGCGTTTTTAATTTTCATCCCGTATGTCTGAAAAAAGGTTACACAGTGATCCTTTTCATATATAAGCGACGAAATTGGAACAATTTTTTGCAAAACATAAAGAACCTTTTTAGTTTTTGCTGCGAAAAGGACCTTTTGTAACATTTTTTCAAACATACGAGACGAAAATAAAAAACACAATTAAAAAATGACGAAAAAGTTAAATTAGTTAAACATAAAAGACTAAAATTATAATTTACTCTATTCAATATGTAGCATCAGTCCAACTCAGCACCAGACCACAAGAGGTAAGGCTGACAGTGAGAAATTTGAGGGAAGACTTATGTTGTTTCTTTTAAGTGAAGCAATAAAGAAAAAGCAAGAAATTTAAAAAGGGGTGCCCAGAAAAATACCATAAAAGCTATAATAGGTCATTTTCAAGAAAGGGTGGTGTGGTGGTGCCACTTTGGAGGGATCTATCCTTCCCCAGTGCTACTATCATGTGCTCTGGCACACCTAGCTAGGTGTGCCAGAGTAATAATAAAATGAACACGTTACATAATAAAATGATAACATGTAATGAACATGTTCATTTTATTATGTAACATGTTCATTTTATTATTACATGTTACATAATAAAAATGTACACATTTTATTATATAACATGTTCATTTTATTATTGCTCTGACATACCTAGCTAGGTGTGCCAGAGCACACCTAAGTATTTGCGATCCTTCCCTTCCACACACACACACTTTATTTACCCCCTTTCTTAATTAATTCTTCCCGCCAGTTACTGACATTAACCAAGTTAAAAATATAATTATACATTTGTTAAAAAAAAAGGTAAGATACGATGTTAAAGTCCTGCTACGGAATTATTCCGTGGGGAGCTTGTAACCGTTAGATCATCATATAATCGTCCTGAATAGATATTTGATGTTAAAATACATTATAAACAAATAATTATAATTACAAGAATATTCTATAATGATAAATAATTATAAACAAATAATTCAATATTCTAATTAATTTAATCAATTACCCTTGCTATTTTGTTGTTTTCCAATTTTGTTATACTCTCCTCCACGTCATCTCCCATTATTAAAAAAAAAAAAGAAAAAATGAATAAAATAAAAAATAATAAATAAAAGATTGGTATCTGTGGATGTCTAGTAAAATGCTAGTAATTCTGTACAAAAAGAGTAGCAGTCGAGGGCCAGTGTAGATATCACAGGCAAAGGATCTTTTATCTAATCTCTCTGATCCAAACACTGCAACCCTCATCACCATCTTTTTATAGTACAGAGTAAATGGTAATAAGAAAACTATAGTAAAAAAATTATAATAATTTTATCTTATTTTATGGAGATGGTACGGTCCCGTTACGGAACAATTCCGTCTAGATTTGTAACCCATTAGATCATCATGTAACCGTTGGGGATAGTTGATCTAACGGTTACAAACCCGACGGAATGGTTTCGTAACGGACCGTAGCATTTCCTTTATTATTTTATTACCTACTCTGCTGTGTGTTCAGATATAGAAAAGGCCAAAAATAAATATTATCGAAAAAAAAAAAATCACAGGTAAAAGATTTTGATCAGAGTTCTTTATTAGATTAATCATGTTTGCTTATAAATATTGTGACAGTATATAGTAATAAGAAAAGAAAAAGAAAAAAAAAATTAAAGGAAATTCATAGTATTTAGTTTTTACTGGTTTATGTAAGTAATTATTTCACTTTTATCGTTTTTTTTTTTTTTAATTGCAGAGTCTGTTTAGCACAGTTTGGGGGTGCAGAATAGATTACATAGCCAAAGCCACCATTAAAAAAACTGTGGCAAATAAAGTGAGTAAAAGGTAGTAATTCTTATTGCAGAGTCTGGTTAGTACAGATTGGGCTGCAGAGTAGATTACATACTAGACTCTTATTATTATTGGGAGACACTAGGAACCATTTCGTCGTGATTTATAACCGTTACATCAACAATCTCTTATTGTTACATGATAATCAAACGGTTACAAACCTCGACGGAATGGTTTCGTAACGGAACTGCAATATTTCTTATGATTATTATTATTATTTTTTTAGTACAGGAACCTTCCAGTTTCCGAATCCAAAGGGGAACCGACTAATCCGGAATCGAGCCAGATAGGACTACAAGAGCGGCAAAGCTCTCCCGCAAGAGTTTGTAACACTGTTGCATTCTCATGTCTCGAATTGGAAGGGTTTTTAAAGAGTGGGCATGAATTTGGAGGGTTGAAGTTTTGTGAAAAGCTTTGTAGTTGAAGGTGGTCCAAGAAAATCATCACAGGAGAGACATCAAAGGGTTTTGACTCTGGATTCCCACGGAAATCTTCACCATCTCTATCAAAATCAAAACCTTGGAGGAGATGGTGAGGAGGAGGAAGAAGAAGAAGAAGAAGAAGAAAGGGATCAGAACCTCTCTCTAAAAACCCACCTCGACCTCGAGCCCCCAACGGCGTCGTTTCAAGACCTCTTCCATCCGAACCACCTCCTTTACGCACGGAGGATCGACCCCACTCACCATCCGCCGCCGCCGCCGGAGCAGCTGCTTCCACCTCCGCCGCCCAAGAAGCGGGTATACTTCCCCCCTTCGACCTCGTACCTTGGGGCTGTTTCCGAGTACGCAAGAAGAATGGACGAGGGTGAGGGCGACGGCCGTGACAACCCCTCACCGCCGCCGTCGCTGTCGAGGCCCGGCGGGTCAAGGGGCGGCGCCGCAGTGGTGGGAGAGATCGTTGAGGTGCAGGGGGGCCACATCGTGAGGTCCACAGGCCGGAAGGACCGCCACAGCAAGGTCTGCACGGCCAAGGGCCCCCGGGACCGCCGCGTCCGACTGGCGGCGCACACCGCCATACAGTTCTACGACGTCCAGGACCGTCTCGGCTACGACCGCCCCAGCAAGGCTGTTGACTGGCTCATCAAGAAGGCCAAGGCCGCCATCGACGAGCTCGAGGAGCTTCCCGCCTGGCACCCCACGGCCGCAGCTGCAGAAGGCGCGCAGAAGAAGCTCGAGCTGCAGAACCAGCCGCACGACATGGTGATTCCCGACGCCTCCGGTTCGTCGGGCAAGAGGGCAATGGCGATGCTCGGCGGTGGGAACGAGCATATGTCGGGGTTTCTTCCCCCGTCGTTGGACTCCGATGTTATAGCTGACACCATCAGGTCCTTCTTCCCGATGGGCGGCGGCGAAGCCGCCGGCCAGGCCAGCTCCTCCGAGATGCAGTTTCAGAGTTTCCCGACCCACGATTTGTTCTCAAGAAACAGCAACAACAATAACAACAGTCAAGATCTGAGGCTGTCTTTGCAGTCGTTTCAAAATCCGAACTTTCTCCACCACCACCAGCACATCCCGGCACAGCCAGCTCACGCAAACCCAGAACATCACGCGCGGCCCAACCAGGGGCAGCAGCACGTACTCCTGACCGGCATCCCGCTAGGGTTTGAGAGCTGGCAGCACCAGCCGGCTCCCGAGCTCGGCCGTCAGCAGCACCTTCCTTCCTGGAGCTCCGCTGACGCCACAACCGCCGGATTCTCGTTTGGCTCGCAGCACCTGTTGGGCGGCGGCGGCAGCAACAGCAGCCACAACCACCATTTTCTTACCACTACACAGAGGGGACCCCTTCAGTCCAGTAACTCACCTTCGGTTCGTGCTTGGATGGACCCACCAGCGGCCATGGCAGACAACCTCCACCACCATCCCGGATCTTCGTCCGTCTATGTCCCGTCGCCGTTTCCTGGTGGCATTGGCTTCTCGGGATACGGTGGGTTCTCAGGGTTTCACATTCCGACACGAATTCAGGGTGACGAGGAGGAGCACGATGGATACTCAGACAAGCCATCCTCTGCTTCCTCCGATTCCCGCCATTGAAACTTTTCCAACTCGCCTCTGCAAAACCATCCTTCCTTTAGCAGGTGACAGTTCACAAGTCTTTTCTTTATTTATGTTTTTTTTTTTTCTTCTCTGTACCTCTTAGATTACTAGCACAAATGAATTTAACTGTTATGGACCATATTTTTTTTAATTAGCAGGATAAATAAAAGAAGAAATCTAGAACCGGTGGAAGTCTTCGGTGTTCTTGACATGGGAACAGATGGGAATTGAATGAAGAGAGTTTCAGTGAGTTTCTTTCTCGATGGCCGCTGGCTTTTCCGGTGAGGCGAAAGAATTCTTGATTTGAGTGTCAGGTTTTTTTCTGATCATTCTGGTTTGCCACTCTATGTTAGTTGCTTTGTGTTTCTTTTTTAAGTGATCACTAGTTTTGTGTTTTTGTGTTTGATGAGCTGATTGCATAGATAGCTCTAGACTGTTCTTCATACAAGTTCAATTGCTTCTGTGTGTTGGGACTTTTTCATGTCAATGTGTGAATGTCTGCTTGTTAATTTTGCTGCTATTCGATCAATTCCAATGTCGCGAGTCGAGTATTTTAAACTATTGGTCCTTGAATCTTCATAGAGCCAATCTTGGATATATTTTAATATTATGAGATTTCGTGTGATAGCTACGAAACATGCGCTTCGTGTTGCTTAGTCGTGAGTTTGAAACAATTGGGCTGTTTCCTCCAAGTAGAAATTGTCGATTATTTGCATGAAAACCTTTTTTCCCCTCGTCTGAGAATGCATTCGAACTGAAACTTGCTCTCGATTTCTTTGCTTGCAAGATTTCTCAATTCTTGATCTTAGCATTCAAGTAACTAGGAAATTTTGTCTATAATTGTGGCGTATTTGGTCATATATGCATCTAGACTAGTGTTGTGAAATATTACGTACAACGTTGTCAAAATTATTCGAACTCTCATTTTCAGTTGATTTCGCCAGAAGATTGTAGTAATTGCAGTGCCAGTATAAATTGACAGTGAAATAGAGTTTAGCATTAACATGAGGTTGGTAACTATTATGCAGCTGATTGAAAGATTAAATCCCAAGTCTTTGTAAAGAGGTGAATGATGAAGAAGAGGCCACAAATTATGTGGAAAATGGATTGGAAATATCATATAAAAGAGACTCAATTATGGAAAAAAAACACCCTTCAAATACAACCAAAATTGGGTGCTACCATTTAGTGACCATCATTAATTGTAATGGTCCCCATTATCTCTAGAAATTGTCCTCTTTGCTGTGCCTGTTTAAAAATCTCTTCAAGGGAAGGGGCATAGCTGGAAACAATTCTCTCTATATCATATACCTTCTGCACAAGTGAGAAAAAAAAAAAATAAATAATAATAACAAGGAATAGTAATAATAAATAGAATGTTTGGCCTCTATTGAGATGGTGACAATTGCTTGATGGTTGTTGGTACTTTATGACAATTACTTTTTTTTTTTCCAATAAAATCTTTAGGTAGTTGTTCGTCATCTCCAATCGAAAAACACTCCTAAACCATTCTGCAGTAACTGTCATATAAAATAGTAATCTATCTTCAACCGGTCTCAAGTCCAAAAGAATATTCTTGAAATATTTTATTTTACATTAACTTTTTAATATTACTCACATATTTTACAACTTTACCAATTAGACCACACTATTATTTTATGTGATTTGAAATTTATGTAATCATTAAAATCAATTCTGAAGTTATAATTCATATACATAATAAAATCGAAGAAAGAAGTATTCATTGAAAAAATTAATATTGCACAAGCTAAAAATAAAAATACATTGAGATGAATATAAAATAATTATGATACAAGTAAAAGATAGATAGTATTTTAGGTCTCTCAATTGGTTAATTCCTCCCAAAAAATGATCTATTAGTGCATTTTAAGTACAATGTGATTGTTTTTATTTTTGTATTGTGAATGAAAACTTGAAATTGAGTACTTTTATCTGTTGCTATTTTGACCTCTGGTGGTGGCGTTTCCATCTTTATTCAATTGGTGCACTTAGACCACGTTCATCCTCGACAATCATGTCATGCAAAATTATATATATTGTTATTATATAGCATAGCACTCATTATAAAATATTTTTTCTTTGGACCACGTGAGTCATAATTATTTGCACAATTGTAGATCATTTTAGATATAAGCTATCGGCTAAAAGCTAAATAATAACTCATGTTATCTTCTTTTCCTTCAATTATATAATGAGTCGGAGGAGAAATACTTTAGGTTAGATCCGAAAAAAGATGAGATGATTCTACTATTTTGATATGGTTGTTAGAGCTCGACAAACCGAAATAAACATGTCATATCCAAATATCATAATATTGCTAGAACTTAAAAAATAATTGTTGGCTTTCCACTACGACATGTATATTGCCCGACCACGTTGTAGGGTAATTTTTCCACTGCAATGCATGCAATCTAAATGCCCCGACATTCCTGGAAAACCACATTTGTGACCAATATGTAAGTATAGAAATATCATCAGATGTGGGTCTTCTTAAATATCGCTCGCTAAATACCTCAACTATCGCTCGACAAAACCTTTTCATATTTCAATTGTAGTAAACTCTCAATTTTGACATACTCGTACGTAGCATCTACTAAAACACCGTATTTCAACAAACGAAAGACATTACTTAATTTTTGTATTGGAGACCATCCACATCCGCCAGCAAAATCCACTAGTTGGAAGAAATGCAGTTCATTCTTACCAAAAAATTCAGGTGATCAAAAGCATACTAAAGAAACGGGTGATCCACATTGGAGCCATTAGAGTGGTTATCAAGTCAACCTTTAAAGAATCAATAGACTCGCCTCTCAATTTGGCGATCTTTAATAAAGAATCTCTGACTTCAAAGACTCGTATCTTGGAAGAGTTATGGGATATTTGTACGTGGAGATACTGGCATTCAAAATTTACCTTAGGATTGCGTACAAGTTGGAAGATCAAGATTTCAACAAAGTTCTTACTCTCCACCAAAATTTTAGAAGTAAGGAGTTGATGTAGGAAGGGTATAGGCCTCATTCCAATGCATACAAGATCGACTATGCTATGCTCTCTCAAGCACTCATCATTCTGAAGTGTTTCCGAGAAGGAATTCACAAAAATCCCTAAAATTTTTAATTTCGCAAATGTTGTATTATCGGATATTATTAAGAATTCGACAATTGGAGAAATTGATATGAGAACCCAAGATAGATCAGTCCTTAAGTATCATGATCGAGCCAAGGAGAATGCCTTTCCAACAAGACCGAATGCTTTATAGTAATTGTTAGGAGGGACAAACGGCAAGTGTACATTAGTGCTGCTAAATTAGACGAGCATGGCTCGACTCGGCTCGAACTCGGCTCGTTAAGGCTCGGTTCGGCTCGAACCGAGCCTTGCCGAGCTCGAGCTCATTTAAAGCTCGTTTGGTTAACGAGCCGAGCTCGGTTCGGCTCGATAAGGCTCGTTAAGCCTCGAAAAGTGAAATTTATGTAATTTTTTATAGTTTGGCTGGTTAAAGCTCGAGATCGATGTTAGAGGTATGCTGTAAAAGCTGTGTTTTGCAGTTTCTATCAATTCCATTTTGATCTGGCAATCATGTTTCGGTCAAAGTACATATGTTTGCAGTTTATTTAT